AAATATTCCAGTCTTTTTAAATCCATGTATAATGTTAAGAGATGTAGTAGCTAATGGAAGTGTTTCAGCAACTATTTTAGGTATGTCATATATAGTCATCGTCTTGCCTGCATTGCTACGTAACCATCCGTCTTGAGCATTTGCAACATATTTTTTTAAAGGCCCAAAAATGGAAACATCAAGCGGATGTAATCTGTGTGACTGCAGTGTGGTGGAAAAGATAACATAATAATTCCGTTATTTTTGGCCAAATTTATTGTTTCAATTGCGAGATGGGATGAATGATTATCTAACAAGATTAATAATGGATCTTCCACTGAAGGCTTTACATGTTTGATGAAATGCTTCATAAACGCAAGGAATTCGTCATTAGTCGCCCAACCACTGGCATTACCCATCCCTATACTATCTGGTGATCCATTTGATACAAAATAATCTCTGTATTTCTTGCGAGGAAAAATGAACATTGGTGGAATGGTGTTGCCAGACGCTGAGACAGCTGCTATCACCGTTACATTTGTACCACGTTCTGTTGAAGTTATTGAGCCTATATTGCGTTTACCTTTTGCTGCAACAATTTTGCTTGGCTTTGATACAGTCGAGACGTCAGTTTCATCGATATTCCAAATTTTTGAGGCAGTAAACTTGTATTTATCCAGAATAAAGCCTAATTTATCAAAAAAATTATTAACGTTGGTCTTATTAAAAGATGTCGCCCTACCGAGGCTAGTTGCTTCTGGTTTTCTAATCAACAGTTTAGTATTTCTTTTCAAGAACGAAGTTAACCAATCTTTGCCTGCCATTTTGTTAATTTTTCAACTGTCAGGATAAGAAATTTGAAATTGAGAAGCGCAATTATAAGCAAGACAGCAAACATCTTTGGGAGTTAAGCCAAAATAAATATCGGAAGCTTTTAGTAAATAACCTTTAATTTTTTTTTCTTGCTCTTCATTAAAAATTTGTCTTGGACTAGCATACCCTATTTTAGCAAATTTTCCTTTATCTTCCAGTTTTTTGAGATATCTTGCCAAAGTCATTCTTGATATTCTGTTTTCAAAAGCTGCTGCTCTTACACTCTTGCCATTTTGTAATACATCATTTGTAGCTTTCTGCATCTGTTCCTGAGTGACAGAAGCTCTGTCTGTTTTTTGCTTGTAAGTGCGCATACTGTAAAACAATAAAAAATCTATTCAGTCTTGAAATTACTTTTATGTTTATATATTAATAAAGAACAATAAAAAGCGCAATAAACACAGATAGAAATAAAGAAAGAATGATAATTATTGAGTTTAGCTTCCTCACCTCTGATGTTAATAAAATTAGGTTTATTCAATGCGTTTTTGCACGAAATGAATGAATCTGGCAAAAAAGAGTGTCCCGCGAACCAAGATATTAATTGTTAAAGTTGACAGATATTCAGGTTATGAAACCTGTCATATCGATGGTTATACAAATGGTTATATATAAAAGGTTATACAAATTCTGTTTTATAAACAAATTCTCTACTTTAGAAACAAATTCTCTACTTTAAAAATACAAATTCTCTGTTTTAAAAATACAAATTCTCTGCTTTAAAAATACACATTTTCTGCTTTAAAAACAAATTATTTTATATATAACCCTAACGGAACATGATATTACTCGGATATTCTGTATTTATACGAAATGTACGATGATCATCTATAGTATACTCAGAATATTCATATAACATCCTTGTAGAATATTATTCCCCATATATTCTCAGGATATGTATAATTTATACTTTAATGGAACATGACATCATACACATATTCTATACTTCTACGGAATGTACGATGATCATCTATAATATACTCATAATATTCTTGTAAGAATATTCATAATATCAATAATATACTCATAATATTCTTGTAGAGTATTATTTCTCGTATATTTTCAGGAACATTTCTCGTATATTTCCCGCGTTTTCCGCGATAGGTAGAAGACTTGAGAACTTCATACGAAGCGAGTGCATATATTATATTATGTATATATACATATATATAATATATATATAGGCTGTGTTCCAAATTTATTTGCTAGCGCTGACAGATCATTGTCAATTTATTATACCGTTTCAAAGTTCGTTGTAGCATGCTGTGGCAGTACTGCGAGAAAGTAAAGACGTTATTTTATCTGTGCTTTCATGGAAAAGATTGGAAAAAACTGATCACATTACCCGACTCCTGATTGCAATAAAACTCCATTTGTATCATGCGAATTACTGGATTCACACTGGATCCGACGTGCGTCGTACAATGTTCTGCAACCAATCAGAAAGCAGAGTTTTATTTCGATGATACGAAGCAAAATCCTGTCTTCTGATTGGTTGCAGAGCGTCATACGACGCACATCGGATCCAGTGTGAATCCAGCAAATCGCATAACCAGTTTACCACTTTCTTTCTATGAAAATGCCATAAAACCGTATCTACATAGCACGCAGAATACAGGTCGCAAGCTTATTGCGATAGCCAAATATATAAATGCGTCAAGGTTAAAATTAATCTGACCTGAGATCCGCGTTTAGGGGACCCGCACACACCTTCCGTAACAGTAACCATAAGACGTACCGTAAGAATCAGCCAATCATAGGTAAGAATTCTTTTGAAATCTTAATTCTAATTGGCTGATTCTTACGGTCGTACGTCTTATGATTACTGTTACGGAAGGTGTGTGCGGGCCCCCTTAACGTTCTACGTGCTATGTAAAACCGGTTTACATGGGAGTTTCGAATGTGAGCATCGTAAGCTTACTATTCGCTAAAAACAGGTCACCTGATCATAATTGATGAATAGCAAGCTCACGATGCTCGACGCCGACGCTTGACGCTGTCATGTAAAAGTATCTTAAAGCTCCTGGTGCTCGATTTCGAAGAAGAAGAGCGGAATGAGCATAATTCGCAACGTTTTATCAAAGGTAATCTGTAATAATCGTATCTTTATTTTATCCAATATTGATTTAAATGTACATAAAATTATTCAGAATATATTATTATAAATAAATTGTATATATTATTTTTATAATATATTTGATTATTTTTATAGTAAAACTACCGCTTATATTATAAATATGAGGTTATCTTGACTGTAATAACGATGTATAAGGCATACAAAGGCAAATATAGAAGCAAATATAAATCAAGTCATATCGAAAGCATTTGACAAAATATTCTAAAATTATAAGTCCGGATGTACAAAGTCGATAGTGCTGAATCTTATCGGTAAATTGATAAAGTTGGCTAATAGCCAACTTGTACATACGAGGACATGAATGTCTAGCCATCCTAAGTTGCACGAATATCGAAGAAGACATAAGAAGGAATAAGAAGGCATGAAAAAATATGAATTTTCGGATGACTAGGCATTTATATGTCCTGTGTGTATGTATGTATGTACATACTTTTCCATGCTTTCTCATTCCTTCTTATGTCTTCTCTGATATGCAAGCAATTTAGGCTTAGACATTCATGTCCTTGTGTGTTATACAAGTTGGCTGTTAGCTAATTTTACCAATTCACCTATAAGACTCAGAGAACTATCAACTTATATGTAGACCTGGACTTATAATTAAAATATTTTTCAAATGCTTTCAATATGAAATGATTTATATTTGCTTCTATATTTGTCCCTACATGCCTTGTACGTTGTTATTACAATCAAAATAATCTCATATTTAAATTAATATAAGCGGTATAGTTTTATGTGTGTGTGATATATATATAAAAATAATAAAACATATTTTTTAAAAAATACATATAACTTTAAGTACATTTAAAACAATGAAATTTCAATCTATGAAAACTTTAATATTTATATAAGTTTATTCTAATGTAAAATTGTTTATTGTAGCATACGTGATTACTATTTGCTTGATATTTTCTGTGATTTTTCCAATACATGTGGAATATAAAGTTTTAGGTTTTTCGACGCACAAGGGATTGAAGTTAGAAAGTAAGTACATATATATACCAGAAAAATTAGAATTTATAAAGCTGATTCTATAATACAATGAGTTGGTAGTCGGAAGTTCTTAGTCTTAATCGATGAAGTTGACCAATAGCTAACTTGTAAGACTAACGCTGATTGATCAAATTCACCGATTAAGATTAAAACTTCCGACTATCGATTCATTCTACAATCAGCATTACATTAGATAGAAAGAGATGATTTATTCTATTATATTTTAAATATTCAAAATAATTTATGCAAAAAAAGTTACATGGTGATACAGATTAGTTCTATAAATAAATAAATTTCTTTTATTATATTTATAGAACAGCTACTCTTTGTATCACTATCAAGCTTTACATAAATTATCAGAATTATCTTGAATACTTAAAGTACTTACATTAAAAAATTAATATTTTTAATTATTTTTTAATTACATTTATATTATTTTAAATTAATTTAAAATATCTTACTTTTTCTTAATCTTTGTATTCTTTTGAAATTATATAATATCTTATTGGCTTTATTTAATATTTTTTCACTAATATGTGATTCTAAACAAATGTCTGATATGATTATATAATTTTGAGCTAAAAGAATCGAAAGAAACTTTCCGAACAACCTAATAGAACGTATCAATTTCCTCTATTTTTATTATATAATTTTGTAACTGCAGTCTGTCTCTCTCTCTCTCTCTCTCTCTCTCTCTCTCTCTTAATATACTGTCTTATAATAATAATTTTCCATGTCACATGTTACATATTAAATATATTTGTAATAGATTTGAAATGAATCAAAATCGACCGAAAAAAGCCATTTCATGTTTATCGAAGAGTCATTTACGTGCATTATGCAAATCAGATTCCAATTGCGTATGTGATGCTATTCTCATTAATACATCAGTAAAAACTGCAGATACTATAAATACTGAAAATACTGGTATTAATGACACATATATGAAATGTTCGGAAAATATTTCCACAACTAAGTCAGATACTCAACTTTCTGAAAACGTTACTAATAATGATTGTAGATAAAGCAATTATCACGTTTAACATGCGAAAATGGTAGGACATCTTCCATACGATTAATGAGAGCCATATTGTCAAACGAAATAGCAGTAAAGTATAGTTGGTATGGAGCTAAAAAAAAAGAAATTTTCTCACAACTCGAGATCTGCAAAATTATTATGGGTAAGTAAAATTTAAAAGCAGTTCTTACTGAGAGGGATCTGATAACGCACATTGCTAATTTGCCAATTTAAAATAAAATATTCTTATTATTAAAGCAGAGAAAAATTACTAGGTACTGACCGATTTCAGTAGATGTATATTATGGGGATGTATGCTAACGGAACTCTCACTAACTCCGGATCTACAATAGATTTTTAAGCATCAAGCCATAAAAAATGGATGAATTATAATCGATTATTCTCCTCGCATTTAATTGTAATTGGTCAGTTTTTACGGCTTTTAAGATTTAAAACACCTATTGTAGATCCGGCCTTGTTATTTAAGGCACTTAAAAATATGTATTACTTACTTAATTGTTAATATTTTTTAACTTATCTTTCTTATTACAAATAAAGCAATAAATTTTGATATAATAAAAGTTACAGAGATATTTGTTTTATTTATTATTGTTACGTCCTGTAGACTCCACGATTCTTTTCTTTTGTGGAAGTTCGATCGTTGTCACTCGGATATCATTTATGAAATATAAGTAGTTAATAACAATCTCGGACTGTTTATGGAGAGTAATCAAAGAGTAATCTACCCCTTATTTTTCACCACGGATCTAAATATCAACCACGGGATTGAAGGCGATGAAATTTCAGGCATAGAGACCACGGTCCGTTCAAAACAAAAGATCGCCATAGATTCCTCTTTCGATAGACGAATAAATAATTGAATCAATTCCTAGTAGTAACTCCATACCCTTGGAGATAAAACCCAACACCGGTGACCGACGGAAGTTTAGAAATCATAGATTACACCTTTGAAACTCGAAGAGGAATCTGTTTATCGTCATCCAATACCGTGGATTCGTAACGGACGACGATCTTTCTTGATATAGTTTTAAGAAGAGATTGCGAACCTAGCAATAAGTTTCACACGAGAAAATCAAAGTTTACACTAGCCACCCACTCCTATCCTTGGCGACACCACCCAAAACTGACCAATCCGATGCAAGAAACGG